AACCTCCATGATGCATATATTACTATCTATCTTAAATTGTAAACTAAGATTACATTGTGGGTCAAAAAAAGCTGCACCAATTCCGCCTGCATCTTTAGAGCCATCGGTAAATATTTTATAATAGCTTCCATACTGCCTGTTAATGTAATCCAAACATATTAACTTTAGACTAAAATTGTTGTAATTTCGTTTAGCTTTTGAAATACATGGAATATTTAAATCAACTATGTTACTTAAATCTATGTTACTGACCCATGTACCTATATTAAACATTTCTAATTTTTGACTACTGTGAATGCGGGTATCAACGAAGTGATCATGAACAGATAAGAGTAGCGGTTTCTTTTTATTACGCCAATATCTATTGTTTCTAAAATGTGCTAATTCATTCAACAGTTTTAGTGTGATATTATTTCTCATTGATTTAGCTTTTAAGATGAATTTACTTGCCAAAAAAGCTCTTCGTACATGCAATGGAGGGAGGCATAGCTCACTCTCCATTGTATGAATAGGAGTAGTTTTAATGAATCCTCCAATCACCCGTAACGCCTGGTTTTGTATTTTGTCTAACTTACTTAAATACTTTTGACAGCTGTTATCAAATAAATAACTCCCATAATCTAGTCTAGTCCTTATAACGGCAATATACAATCTTCTTAAATGCTTGGGATGTACTCCCCAACCAGGTCCTACTAAAACTTTAAATATGTTTAAAAATCTAGATATCTTATTTGTTAATTCCGTAATATGCTTATTCCACTTTAAAGACCGGTCCAGCCACATCCCTAAATACTTGACTGTGTTTACTACTTCTATTTTATTATTATTTATGTTTACTGAAATACCTTGCCTACAAATACCTTTTTTAAAAATACAGATCTTTGTTTTAGCCATTGAAATCTCCAAACCTAAATCTATGAGCAAATTATACATTTTATTTAAGGCCAATTGCAATTCAGTGGAAGCGTCATTTAAATTTTTACCCGAAGTATATAACACATAATCATCAGCATACTGAGAGATATTTACATTAGAATTAATTTGATTACAAATATGAATAGTTGAAATATTAAATAGTAGTGGAGCTATAGGATCACCCTGGGCGATTCCTCGGCCTGTAGACCTGGATAAAATTACATTGTCCACCTGAACACTTAAGTATCTTTCCCTTAAGAAAGTCCACAAATATTTACAAACTTTTGATCCAGCACCTAATCGATCCAAATTCATTAGCAAAGCCGTAATATCTATGTTATTGTACGCGTTCTCTATATCAATAAAGCAACCTACTGTAATTTGATCTTTTGAAAACCCCAATTGTATTCTAGTAACTAAATTACTGAGATTGTCCAAACATGATTTTGATTTCCTAAATCCGGTGGTCTCTTCATAAAATAGGTTTTCATTTTCCATCAACCATTCCAGTCTATTTCTCAACATAGCATGGAAGATTTTACTCAGGCAAGACATCAGCGAAATAGGTCGGAGCGATGATAAAGATGACGCCTCACGCCCTACTTTTGGAATTGGTGTAATGCGTATTTCTCGCCATTGAAATGGTACAAAGCTCAGAGAGTAAAACAAATTAAATAGTTCGAGTAAAATAATTAATGCGTCTTTGGGAAGGTGTTTTATCATTGAATAGGATATATTATCCACACCTGGAGAAGTATCTTTTGTTTTAACACAACACCTTAGCTCGCTCATTGAAAAAGGAGAGTCAATTTTAATGTTACGAGATAAAAAAACAGGGTCCTTCGGACAAACTGAGTCTGGAGTCAAACTGTGTAAAAGCTCATTTGCCATAGTTAGATCAACATAACTCCTATTTACATTAGAACACCTATAACCTTTTAACCACTTCATTTTCTGCCACATCCCGTTTACTGTTGTAGACTCATCCATCGAAGAACAAAAAGTAGAAAACGATTTCTTAGTTGCCTTTCTAATTAGTAATTGTGTGATTCTAATTTTGTCTTTTAATTTATCTAAATTATCAGGAGTAGGGTTTTTTCTAAATAGAGTAAGAGCTAGGCGCCTTTCTGCAACAGATTTAGATAAGTCGGTATTCCAATACTCTTTAGGAGAAAAATGTTGTGAGGGATCTTGGTTGGTTCTGTAAAAAGGAATATGAGCATCAGCGGCTTCATTGATCATGCTTAAAAATAAGTTGTAGCTTTTCTGCGGATCTTCATCTATAAAAACAAACCTTGAAATTTTATCTTCTAAGTATGAGCTATATCCATCCCAGTTTGCTTTTTTATAGTTCCTTTTCTTTAGGAATTGACGCTTACTATTGTAATATGACAAATTAATCTTAATAATCAAATGATCACTGCCTAATGACTCATTAGTAGCCTTCCAATCTAACTGCAGTGCTAGATCCGAAGATGCGATAGATATGTCAGGGGACGACTCCTGTATTATTCCGTTTACATATTTAACGCGAGTAGCTGTGCCATCATTCAAGGAAACGAAATTATTTTCAATTAAAGAATCAAAAATGTTGGTGCCTCTTAAATCAACCTTACTAGACCAGCTTGGATGATGTCCATTGAAGTCCCCAAGAATCAATGTTTTGTTAGTTTTAAAAGAAAATATTTCATCCCAGTCATTCTGAGAAGTTCGTATGGTAGGTGGGCAATATATAGAGAGTATGTAATCTATGTGTGTACAGTTAAAAATTTTAATACAAATTATTTCAATTCCGGGATTAGAAATTTGGACAGGTATTAGTTGAGTCTTTAAAGATTTGTGTGAACAAATAGCAACCCCACCATACGAATCATTTCGGTCCCTGCGGTAAAAATTGTAGCCACTGATTCTAAACGTAATTTCAGCATTCAGCCATGTCTCAGAAATGGCAGCAATATGAATTTTCTCACTACTTAACAGCTGGTCAAACTCCGCGCGTTTGGGCCCTATACTTTGTGAGTTCCACTGGAAAATGTTTATTTTGTAATTACTACCCATTATTGTCCGAAGAAACTTTTAAAAGGCAAATCCCAAATGCACTGCCCCACCATCGGTACTAACCATTCAATAACTAATGACATTCCTTGAATTATTTTCTTCTTAAGTTCTTCTTGTGGATTTGTAAATATAGAATACAACTTAGAAAGTAACTGCTTAAAATTTAGAGTAGATCTAAGCTTCTCTCTTCTCTCTTTTTTCTCTCTTCTTGATTGGAGCTCAATTTCAATATCATCATCATTATTGTTAACTATTTCTTCCGATTCTGACGATATATCGCTTTCAATCAATTCATTCTGATTTTGCTTCTTCTTTCTTTTTCTCTTCGTCCCTATAGTCTTTCTTTTTAAAGCTTGCGGAACCTCCTTAGCACACGATTGTAATGCGAATGGTAATGAATTACTGTTAGGAGCATTATCAAATTGTAGGTGCGGTGCAGATCGAGTTACGCTTGCGTAAGTCACTACCCCATCGTCGTTTTGTGGTATAGAGGACATAGGTATGGGCTCGGGCAGGTTATTATATAAAGGTGTATTTAGGTTGAGATGTCTTTGAGCTGTCTGTAATATAGTTGGCTCTTGTTCTACTCCTTCAGGTTGAGGGTCTGGAGGAACATATACTTGTAAGGCCTTTTTATAAGAGCAATTGAATTCAGCCATTATACTCCTTAGACGCTTTTCTTTTATAAATATAGGACATAATCTATCCAACGATATGTGACTCCCGATACAGTTAACACATCTAAAAGTTGTGGTCTCACAATTAGCATGCCCCTTTCCACACTTAGGGCATACAATCTTTTTAGAGGGGCAAACACGTAAACTATGGCCGAACCTCCAACACCTCGAACATTGAGTGACTGGGAAGACATAGGGCTCGACGTTAATCTTCATGTCGTATATGTATACTGATGCTGGCAACGATGAGCCCTTAAATTCCAGTCGTACTGATTCGCTATCTTCCCATCCCTTTCCATCCATCATTCTGCGCTTCAAGCGTTTTACACCTAATATCTTGCAATCACTTGAAATTACCTCCAGCATTTCTTTTTCGGTCATCTCCAGCTCAATATCCTTAATGACACCGTATGAGGAAGCAACCTCTAATGGCTTTTGAAATCGCCATCCTAATTCCTTCAAAGGTGTACAGTTCATCAGCTCATCGGCACTTTCTGCACATTCAAACTGCACAAATACTTTGTTCGCGTTCACGTATTTCACACGGCTAATATTCTTGATATTATTGGATTTTAAAAGTTTTGCAAGCGCAAATTGTTTAGGTAATTTTTCGTAGCAATTAATATATAAATCAACTTTCTGTCCCACTCTCTTCCCATTTCTTGAAACCGTAATCCACCTTTCTTCCTCATCCTCTTCTCTGCGTCTCTTACTACAAATAGGTGTAATAACCTCATCGTCAATCATTGATTCACAGTTTTCTTGTAAACAAATCTCCGTTTCCACTTCATTGTTTTGATTTAAAACAGAATTTATCGCCTCTCCGTCTAAAACTTGATTTTCTTCCATGGTGAACAAAGTACACCAATGAATGCTCCAAAATTAAAGCATGGCAAACCACGCATTCACGTTAGTAACCGACAGTTAGACTAATATTCGTAAGTATGAGCGCACGCCTATTCAAACGACACGTCTGTTGCGAACGGGCGCTCAGACCGAACTGTATTATTTGTTATAATTTCAAAAAACGTAACATTTAACAGTAGTCACTAAAAAGCCCGGTGACAAGAGTGTGCCTGAAAATTTTAATCCTGAACATATATCTTTCCGACAGCCTTTCCTTTCACAGGCACTCACTCGATCATTACTCTACTAAATATAAAGAAACACACGCACGCACATCGCGGAGAAAATCTTGATGATTATTATTAGTTTATAACCTTTTTTTACATACATATTGCACAGACCGCGGAATACAAAAAACAATGGGTAATTGTTACTTTTTTTATATTCCGTGGCATAGTAAATTATGCTCAAACCCCTTGTCAAATAGTTTATTTTTCCTTGCAGGAGAGTCGAGACGTGAAGGTTCAACGGAGGAGCCGAGCGCCCCTGAGCCCGACTTGGACTCCGTCGACATCACTGCCAAAGAACAACCTGAGTAATTATTTTCATTCGAATATATCTAGCGATACACTCCAAAACATGTAGCGCCATCTATGAGAACTTTTCTGAAACAGCGTCGTATCGCGGTAATGTTGCTATCCACCGCTGGAGGCGTAATAATTTTTTGTCGGTTACGATAATTTATTATGTATTTTATTATAAATTACTTATGGTACATATATGGGTCAATTTTAATAAATATTTGGACATAATAATAAAATTTTATTTTGCTTAGTACTTTCAAATGTTAGTTTGCATCAAAATGTGTTCACAGCGTTGTCACTAGATGGCGCTTAAAATTATTTTTCCTTTGAGACATTCGCCTCAAATGACGTAATTTTATAGTCACGTGAACATCATATTTATTTATTTTTAATTAATCAAAATCTAATTTAATTTAAATTGAATCAAATCAGAAATATTATTAAAATAGAACATGGGTGGCAGAAAAAGACAATCCGTAATCCCATTTCCTCCTGTAGGCTTCGTAAGCGGCGACTATGAGAGAAATGCTAGAAAAAAATTATAGCTTCCGCTAGATGGCGGTTTACGCTCTCGTTTACGCTTTGCGTAAAATATCCAAGTAAGCGGTGGGAAGCAGAGTCAGTGGAAATCACGTCTGGCATTACGATCGTCAATACGCTTGCCAAGCGTGTCGATTAAGGTGAATTCTGCTTACCTGGGGTGTTCCCATATTTAGTTTACCAGGGAAGATACCGCCTTCTTGCCTATATCTACCGCCAAGAAGCAGTGCGTGCACCTATGTGTCTTGGTTGAAAAGGTATAGAGAGTCGGTCACAGGCTGGAACAAACAATGCATATGTTGTTTACTTCGTTTAAAGTTGGTTGAACGTGTCCGTGGGCTGAAGTAGCCACATACTATCGGGTGGACTGTGAGTTCGTTTAGTCGCCTCTTACGGCACACCACGGGATGTAAAGGGGGTAATGGATTGTTCTGCGTCTCCACCACTTTTCATCTGTGTTACCAGTTTTGAATTCAAATAGCACAATATAGAAACATATTTTATCTTTGGAGGCGGCCTTTACCCGTACAGGAGCTGCTCAGCAGTGAACTTGTAAAGATCTGTAATGATGAATGATGATGATGAAGATTTAAATTTACATTTTTAAAATTATCAATAGTAAATTACCAATTTTTATAATGCATTATAATGCTTATGCTATATGTTTATAATGGTGTCATTTCATTTTTATTAATTTATTATCTACTTATATTGTCTCATTATTTAATTAATTAATTCGTTACAACATTTTCGAGTCCACTGCAGAACATAGGCCTCCCCATACAATGTCTCATAAAAGGCGTTTGCTCAGTTTTCACAATTCACAGTGCCACACTGGGTAGGCAGGTTGGTAACCGCGTTAATAGCAACAAATTTTACGGATTTTATCGCTAATAATTTTAACTTGTTAATTAAGAAACATCGGCACTTCAAACACCGTATATAAAATCTGTAAAATTAGTTTTATTTAACGTGTGGTATTCGCGGAAATCATTATGGCAACCGCAGTTTATTTTTCCAGTTGTGATTAGAAGATCCTGCTGCCCATTCCTTGGTTTGTTTCCCTGTTATTCTTACGACACCCACGGGCGATATTGGATTAGTGGGTATTGTTATTATATCACTACGCTGGTAACCTATATTGTCTTACAATGTGTATTTTTTTTATGTATGTTAGAGTAATACACATGTGGTACAAGGAGTATGTTCGTTCCACAGCTGGCGCGCGGGCGGCGGCGGGCGGGCGGTGAACCGCGCGGAGAGCTGCCGCGAGCGCGACGCGCCGCGCCGCGGCAAGCACCGCAACGCGTCCGATCCCAACCGCCTCACCGCACACCACACGCAGTCAGTACACCTTGCCTTCTATATATATATGTCTCTGTTTCTCTTTTGTGTTCGTTATAGGTACGATAGAGAAGGAAATAATATTTCGGAAATACAAAAGTATGCAACGCGTCCGACCCCAACCGCCTCACCGCACGACACGCGCAATCAGTATCACCTCGCTTTCTTTATATGTCTCTTTTTCTCTTTTATGTTTGTTATAGGTATGAAAGTACACCTTGCCTTCTATATCTGTCTCTTTTTTTTGTGTTCGTTATAGGTATGTAAGTGAACAAAAAAATATTAAAAAAAGTATAATGGTAGGCAAAACGGTAGTACCGCAATGCTTCGGATCCCAAACTCCTCACTGCACACTACACGCTGTCAGTGCATCATGCCTTCTTTATAAGTCTCTTTATCTTTTTTGTGCTTATTTTTCTGGACCGATATGAGATAATCTGTGAGGTACCTGAACAGTAGTTTTCATTCGATACCTGAATAATACGTATATTTTCCTTATTATTTTAACTATAGCGCCATCTATCGACTAAACGTGAAACTGCACTCACACATAATAGTTCTGTAAATGACCACACAAATACAGCGACACTTTCCTATGTCCTCTTCATCATTTATCATAAAATAAAAAAGAATGAGTTAGATGTACGAAAGAGAAATTGACGCGCAGTAATAAAATCCACATCTCATCATATTTAAATTTTATCGCGGCTTTGTTTATAATTATCGGTTATTTATAGCCCGCTCACCCAAAACAACGCCAGATTCGCTGGTTTATTTTTTTTTCAGCTCCAACACGAAATCATAATGCGAATTGCGAATGTAAAATTCTTGATGTTTCTTTAATAATTATTCTTTATTTTTTTTATAGAATAGGGTGACAAACGAGCACACAGTCCACCTGATGGTAAGTGGTTGCTGTGGCCCATAGACATCTACATTTTATCCTCGTTTGCGAATCAAAATGCAGATGCGTTGCCACCCGTGAGGACTAAGATGGAATGTCTCGTTTCCAGTAAAAAGGGTCTCCGGTTCTCTACACTCACCATACGAAACACAGCAGTGTTAAGCTACTATTTGACGCTAGTATTCTGTGAGATCGTGGTCCTTCCCCGGTCGAGCCGACCCATTCATGCTACAACTATACTACTAATATAGTTGCAGCATGGTTCTACCACGTACCAAATTCTACTAAAATTCTACTACGACTCGTAGTCTACGAGTACGACTGGTGTTTAAAAACATCTAATATTAAGTAATAAAATACTACCTGTTCTTATTTATCCACCCACTTGTCATTTACCGTGGTAGAACCATTATGCAGCTATATTATAGTTGCAGCACGAATGGGTCGGCTCGATTGGGGAGGATCACTCTCTCACAGAATACCAGCGTCAAATAGCAGCTTAACACTGCTGTGTTTCGTATGGTGAGTGTAGAGAACCGGAGACCCTTTTTACTGGAATAGAGGCATTCCATCTTAGTCCTCACGGGTGACGACGCATCTGCATTTTGATTCACAAACGAGGATAAATGTAGATGTCTATGGGATACAGCAACCACTTACCATCAGGTGGACTGTGTTCGTTTAACGTCACGCTAATTCTATAAAAAAACACATTAATCCACTGCTGTGCTGTGCACTGATTTGCCATAATCGCCACGCTTGGCAGGCCATTTGGCAATTGCACTGCCAGTCAGTCTAATGTTTAAGTAAATGAGATGGTTAAACCGCCTTTTGTCATGATTTGGCAGAGTAACCTCTTCAAGAAACTTTAAAATGATTGTGTTGTGGGTGGTTCAGAGCAGTAAGTAGTCGAATGGCAAATTCGATACCACAATTTTCAGTGTTTGCAATCGGCATCCTTACCATTAGTTCTCGCCTCAAGTGATAGTGTGGTTCATTTTTCGAAGCATTGGTAGAGGAAAAAATGGCATTCTCTATGTAATATTTAATGTTAAATGTTTTTTTTTTTTGTAAAAATATTAAGTAAATTCCTCGGGGAAGGCCTATGTTTAGCAGTGGACTTGTGAAAAGCTGTAATGATGATGGTGATGATATATGTTATAGATTTTAAAGGTTTCCGCATGACATGTATGTGAAACAGTAAGGGCACTAATCCAGAGCATGAGAATATAAATAGAAATGAACACTGTTGTCACTGAGCTATAAACTCTGAGCTATAGGCTATAATAGCCACAACAATATTTAACTATATTGAATGACATAAGGTGCATTGGCGACATACCGTCTCTAGAAATAAACTTGAAAGCTATGTAGACGCCTTTATGTGTTTATCTTGTTTCCACTGAAACTATCTCCCAACTTAATTCAAATACATTTGCCAGACATTAAAAGGTGTTATGCGGCAGATGTGCAACTCAAAATCTACTCTACGTGTATTGTTTAAGGTCTGCATTATCTCGAGTAATTTAATGCAGTAATAATTCGTGCAGGCAATTTTCTCATCTCTATTGTTTCGGCTTAAAGTTCTTAGGTGCATTTAGTTTATGTTAATTTATTAATTTGTCTTTATCAAAACGTTAAAAGCGATCATTTTCATCATCATCATCACTCTTTACAAGCTGACTTCTGAATATAGGCCTCCTCCACGGAATGTCACAAAACAATGCGCTGATCTGAGACACCTATGCATGTTTACCATGTCGTCGCTCCATCTAGTGGGGCGGTGGTATGTACTCCGCTCACCGGTGCGAGGCTGTCACTCGAGAACCTATCTTTCCCATCGGTTGTTTAAAATTCTCAATACTAAGTCTATCTCGCAAAGAAACTTTGAGAATGACCATCTTTATAGCTTGCCGAGTGACATCACGACTAGCGAGCGGTATGACATCACGACTAGCGAGCGGTATGAGGAAACTTCCACATACGGCTAATCCTGAAGGACCTCTTCTCAGAACACTATTGCTTTCAAGTTTTGATCAATACGTATTTAAAGTATACCATTGTTAAACATACATACATGTAGTACATACTTATATGTAGTTATTTAATATTGGTCACACAAAATGGTATTACATACATGATAAATTCCACTTTAGACAGGTTTGTATGTAAAATTGTATAGAAAACGGAGTTCAAAGCGGTTGATCTCTGATGTCATTTCGTAGGTATTGGAGGAGGGTTCATATAAGCTTGGATAGGAGCGTTAACTGACTACATAAATCTGAGCTTTCACGTTATGAGATAGAATGGATATAGCAGTTCCGTTTATTTTGGTTAATAATGTCTTCAGTGAATCGCTGGCAAGGTGACGCTTCAGTTTTCAGTTTGGCGCAGCGTGCGCTCGTGGTCGCATCGCAATCAACTTGCAATTTTTTTTTTATTTTGCTATCATTAACGCGTACGTAAGATAAATGGTGATTGAAAAGGTGATAATTTGTGTTAATAGGTGAATTAATTTCGTGTGATAAATTGGTATGGTGTTCAAATTTTTTTCTTAGAGGAAATTCGAATTCCTTTTTTAAAACTTGAGTTTTAAAAATATTTCTTAGTGCATTAGTTGACGTCATTTTTACCTTTCTCGGTATTCAATTGTTTTTTAAAACATATTTGTTTTAATTCAGCAGTGCTATTAGAGTTATAGAATTGCTAAGTGATCTCACTATCTCTATTGAATTCTATGCATAAATATTTTTATTGTTTGAATATATATATATATATAATTTAATATTCATAACCCCTTTTTGTGTAGTAATGGCGTAAGAATTACCCTTAATAGCGTAAACACCAACCCATATCGCCCCGTAGGTGGTGGGCAGAGAAGTACATTTTGATACCAGCTTAATATTATAAAATACTGCCGCTGTCAAGCTTGGCAACTCCGGTGAATATCTAATATATATCCCTACTAGCTGGCCAGGCAGACGTTGTTCTGCCCTTTTCGACGACCCTTCATATAAAAAAATCCTTAAATTCGTAATAAAAAAATATTGAGTGTCACTTATCAGGATAAAAACTATCCTATCTCTCAAGTTGGACCAAACTGCATATAGTGTTCAAATTTCATTGAAATCAGTTCAGTAGTTTAGGAGTTCATCGCGGACAAACAATGTGACACGTAATTTTTATATATAAAGATATAATATATCCCTTCTGTGAGATACTATTGGGGTAGGCCTATGTTAAGCAGTGGGTTTTAGATAGGTCTGTAATGATGGACATCTCGAGTTTGATAAATACCTTGATGTATAATACCCGACGTCGAAAACCAGATGTCAGAGTATTTTGTCAAACTTGGAGATTATGACAAATCGTTTCTGCTGCTAATATCTACTCGTCGTCCCATGGGTGTGGCAAGAGGCGACAGAGGGAATCTGAAACAGGAGATGGGCGGCGGCATCTAACACAAAATAAAAAATAAAAAACTGCGGTTTCCAATCTGGTGGCAACTATGGCCAAATTCCTCTATGAGGCAATCTATGAGAGAGAGATATGTTCAGTTTTGGACTTTTAAAGGTTGTTATGGACGGACTGATAACGACGATTTTCAGTATGAATAATTTCTATTTATTGTTGATCAATTCCGCTAACCGTTTCTTGTCATGTGCCATACAAAACAATCTTATATTTCACAAAAACTAGTGTGGGGTGTGTGAGTAATCATCTTTTTATCGATTGTTGTGGAGCTGGCTTTAGAAATGTTATTTTGTCGATATTATAAATCACTTATTTTTAAATGGTTAAAGTTTCTATGATAGTCCCCTAACTTTCTCGATTTATGCCATCGTCATCACAGATGAAAAAGCATTTGACCTTTATTAACATAGATTTAAAAAAGTGGTGGCAGAATTTTATGCGGAACCGCTCCAGCATCGCACTGGTAATTTCTGCATCTCGACAATAGCGCTACTGGATCCAATAGTGAATCCTAACCATCCAGGGACCCACTCAAACACAAAAAAATTATTAAGAGATTTAGGAAGAATTTAGTGACCGACACACGTACAAAATTTATTTTAACTGGGTCTAGTTGCGCTCG